AAAAAAAGGCCTACGATACGACCCCTGGGATAAAGGACCCCCCATTTTCCCCCCTACGACCCATGGGATGAAGGACCTTCCCTTAGTCCCCCCCCCTCCCCCATGTCACTTGCGTTCTTCCCCAGTCGACATCGCCATGGGCGGCCGGGTTTGCCTAGCGATTGTGGACAAAAGGCTCATCAGCGGCGGCGGCATGTTAAATATGACGGCTGGCCGTCTGGAGAGGGGTTAAGGTGGGGGGTGAGATAGATGGAACCCCATTTTTTATATCCAAGGCTCTTCCCTGCACCCTATATACGTGGGGCGCCAACGGGCAGGCATGCTCACACTGATAACTCTCTTGAATGTATCTTTCATCCACCCAAATAACACGAGTACGCACCCTAGACGGGGAGGGGGGGGGGGGTTAGGACAACGCAAAAGAAAAAAAAATAAAGTTTAAATAACAACCCCTCCCCAAACCTGGAGTGTTGTCGTCGCACTCACACTGTGGGCCTCGCCACACCACCGTCCGAAACAAACAGAGAACGAATGCATCTTCCCCAGAACGTGGTAAGATGCATCCACTTGCTATTCATAATGACGGATGCATCTTGCCATTCTCTGCGGGAAGATGCACTCGTACTTTTTCCGTTTCTCCAGAGGTGTGGCAAGGCCCGCAGTCCCTCATCGCACGCCGTTCATCAAAATTAGACATGTAATAATTGACAAAGAAGAGAGGATCTGATTTGATACGACTACAACCCCCGACTCCTACCCCCCCTACCAAACGAGTGGACTAAGAAAATGGGATGGTGAAAGACATAAAATTACCACAGTAAAAATTTTAGGGTTAAACTTCAACCGCCCGCTTGGAAACATGCACGTCAGAGCAGATGATAGACAAAGAGCAGAGTGAGAGAGTTCACCCAACCACCTGCTTTGCAAATCATCATACCCGCTTAACTATATTATTATACCTACCTATTATAGTCGCATTCCCAGTATTTGGGTACTATTTCCATATCCCGTTTCAATACTCCTTGCGCTTTACCTCCCACTAATTTTTCCGCTTGCATTCGCTAAATGCATGTATTCAGGGGCTGAAAAGGTCCCCCGGTGTCAGATTAGACACAAGATGGCTTTTAATTGCGCTGGTTAGTCCCATGATAATACCTCAAGGCCATTGCCTTTCTTTGAAAAAAAAAAAAAAAAAAAAAAGCATGTATTCACTCCATAGTTATTCTCTCACCACCTCGAATTAACAGATAAAGAGGAAAGCATCAACGAAATAGAGATTAAAAAAAAACAGAAAATACTACCAAGCCAAGTCCAGCAGTGCAAGTCGGGACATATCAAAAAATAAACTGAAATTGCGTACCAGAGGGCATCCCGCGAAGTAGGGAGGACATCCCATGACGTATGATAAGGGCAGGACAGGTGTGTGAATAGTCATATCGCTCGATTTCGCTCGTACGCAATTTCAGGTGTGTGACATATGATAAGGGCAGGACAGGTGTGTGACATATGATAAGGGCAGGACAGGTGTGTGACATATGATAAGGGCAGGACAGGTGTGTGACACATGATAAGGGCAGGACAGGTGTGTGACATCTGATTAGCAGTCCGCAGCAACAGCACACAGAACAGATTGCCACTTCACCCAATTGCCAGTGCACAGTACTCTCAACCCACGTGTAAATCCACAAAATATATATATATATATGAATATATATTTATGTAGACCTGCAAGACCATCCCCCCCCCCTTAGCAAGGGCGTGAGCAGAAGTAACTAGAGATACGCCACGCATTGTGAACAATACTTGATGCCCAATCCGCTAATCAATCTAGAATAAACAGCAAATACCGCCTTCAATAAGCGATACGCGGCGGCATTTCCTCAACCCGGCATTCTTTTCCATCTTAACGGACGACTTGCCCTCAAAAATGCCCCCACAAAGAAATTTCCCCGAGATAATAGACCAAAAGATCTTCTTACACACATCAGACAAACTGTCACGTTCAACGTCCCGCCCACTATGCAGAGTCACCAGAGAGCGGTAGTGGGCATAGTCACCAGAGAGTGGTAGTGGCCAAAGTCACCAGAGAGAGAGAGAGTCACCAGAGTGGTAGTGGGCAAAGTCACCACAGAGTGGACAAAGCACCGTGACACGAACATCCACCACAGTCGCAGGAAAAAGAGCAGCAATCTCTCCGCCTTCAGGACAAGAATCCAGTGACACTAAACTCAAAGGTTTTCCATTTCTCAATACGGACACCCCCCCCCCCCCCCCCAACACACACACACTCATAACCCCTCGCACATACACACATACACGCATAAGAGAGTCATACTACACTACATATGCCATTTTTCATCGATTCAATATTACACAACGGACAGGTGTGGGGGGGTGCCGGGGGGTTAATTTCACGCATGACCTGCAGAGAGAGATGGGGACGAACGTTCGTCGGAATCATTAGATAGAGTGAGAAAAGACATTTTCAGAGAGGACGCCTCGGGGAAACGACGAAGAAGAAGCAATGCTGAAAAAATTCACTTCTGTGAGATCCGAAAGAACATGGGAGATCGATGTCTCTCTCACCAGATAGACAACCTGAATCTTAAATTTAGTCTTGTTACCCAGCAGCACACGAAACTACACCCAAACGTAAATAATCCAGAAGAACGAAAAATTTCGACGGCCAAAAGTGTGAAAAAGTAAGAACGCCGCATCCAATCAATCTTGTGTCATTACTTTCATTGCGCACCGCGAGCCACCTTCAACCACCACCATTTACAACTTTCCTGTAATCTCTCTCTCTCTCTCTCTCTCTCTCTCTCTCTCTCTCTCTCTCTCTCTCTCTCTCTCTCTCTCTCTGTGTGTGTGTGTGTGTGAGGCGAATTCCATCTTGACGGCTGATTTGAGAAAAAGTTAAGTCACAAGAAGCAACTCGATTGGTAATAACAATCAGATAAAAACCGAAAACATTCTACATCTCACAACGTCCATCCTGATGGCTGGCTGATGTAAAGTAGGTTAAGAATAGGAAGAAGCTATTCATTGGATAGGACATCTCCGAGCTGCTGTTGTTTCCAACAAAAGCAGACCATGATCGTATATATATATATGTCATTTATCGTCGCCGAGTACTTAACACTACCAGCTCCTCACCCGCTCCATACCCTTATTCATCGTGCGAGAAATCAACAGACAGGAGGAATCACCCTCCTCGCCACAAAACAAGGTAAGATACACCAACCGAGCTCTCCCTGAAGAGGTGGAAGAAGGGAGACCACCTCCACCTCCCGCCCAGCCCCAATTACTCGCCTGTCCCCCCGCTCTCAACAATCACGCCACACCCTCTCCCTTCTCTCGCGAAGCGACCGGCCTCCCCCTTCCAAACAGTGGGCCAAAAGCGCTCTCGCCCTCTACCCATTTACCTCACCACTACTCTTCTTCTTACATACATATATATTCCTAACAATGGACTGGCGACCTGAATGCACGTCCAGTCCCGCGTTCATTCCCACATTCAGTCCCGCGTTTCGAGGAAGCAGCAGCCCCACCTCGCCGCCTACCCACTTGGAAACACAATCATCCAGCAGAGCAGCGTAATAACTATGGACAGCGTAATTCATAATCCTTTTTTTCTTCTCTCAGCAGCGCCGCGCCACGTCAGACGTGTACGTCAGGACTCCGCCTCATCCTACATACATTATGGGTAAAGAATGTGAACGATAATGTTGACGACACCAACCCCATCCCCGTCCTCAAACCCTTCTTCTCAACCCCCCCCCCCCCCCCCCCCCCCCCCTCTCTCTCTCTCTCTCTCTCTCTTCTCTCTCTCTCTCTCTCTCTCCCCCCCCCTTCTCCCTCTCTCCACAGAACCGGAGAGAACCTAGCCATTCCCATTCATTTCAATTTCAATCTACTTCGCGCCGCCAAATCGTGCCAACAACTGACCGACCAATTACCGGGGAGGACTGCTAGCCAAGGGTTCGTCGGATACCTGTCAGCAGAAGTCAACATGACATAACATAAAGGAAGGATGAAAAGGATACATGCAATTCAATCCTCTTGCATCGACAAGCGGGCCCAACCCACCCTCCTCCCAGCAAACCCCACCCACCCTTTAGAGTCCATCCATCGCTCCACGCATTCATCCATCCACCACCTACCCATGATGAGAGTCTCCCTCTTACAACTCCGCGGCGAGCTTCTCCGCCTTGGCAATGACCTCCTCGATACCGCCAACCATGTAGAATGCCTGCTCTGGCAAGTCATCGTACTTACCAGCCAACACATCCTTGAAGCTCTTGACATTCTCCTGAAGGTCGACGTATTTGCCGGGAGAGCCCGTGAAGACCTCCGCCACGTGGAACGGCTGGCTCAAGAACCGTTGGATTTTCCTAGCGCGCGCCACCGTCAACTTGTCGTCCTCACTCAACTCGTCCATACCCAAAATGGCAATGATATCCTGAAGATTCTTGTAATCTTGAAGAACCTTCTGGACACCACGGGTGACAGCGTAATGTTCCTCTCCCAGCAGAAGAGGGGAGAGCATACGCGACGTGGAATCAAGAGGATCGACGGCGGGATAAATTCCCAGCTCAGAAATCTGCCGAGACAACACAGTAGTGGCGTCCAAGTGAGCAAAGGTCGTCGCAGGCGCCGGATCCGTCAAATCGTCGGCTGGCACGTAGATGGCCTGCACGGACGTAATCGAACCCTTCTTCGTCGTCGTGATACGCTCCTGCAATCCTCCCAAGTCCGTGGCAAGAGTGGGCTGGTACCCCACGGCGGAAGGGATACGGCCTAGGAGAGCGGACACCTCGGAGTTCGCCTGCGTGAAGCGGAAAATGTTGTCAACGAAGAGCAGCACGTCCTGCCCCTCGTTGTCGCGGAAATGCTCAGCAACCGTCAAGCCGGTCAATCCCACACGTGCACGTGCGCCTGGTGGCTCGTTCATCTGCCCGTACACAAGGGACACCTTGCTCTCCGACTGCTGGTCGCCTAGCTTAATGACGCCGCCTTCAATCATTTCCTTGTACAAGTCGTTGCCCTCCCTGGTTCTCTCGCCCACGCCAGCGAACACCGAGAAACCACCGTGCCCCTTGGCGACGTTGTTAATGAGCTCCATGATCAGCACAGTCTTGCCGACGCCCGCGCCGCCGAAGAGACCAATCTTTCCTCCCCTCTGATAAGGGGCAAGAAGGTCCACGACCTTGATACCAGTAACGAGAATCTCCTGCTCGACGCCCTGGTCGACGAACTCCGGCGCGGAGCGATGGATTGGAAGCATGTGCGTCTTATCGATGGGACCCTTTTCGTCAATGGGTTCGCCAATGACGTTCATAATTCGGCCCAGGGTGGCCCTGCCGACGGGAATCTTGATTGGCATACCTGTATTGAGGACTTTCTGGCCGCGGACGAGGCCGTCTGTGGCGTCCATAGCAATGCACCTGACGGTTTTCTCGCCCACATGCTGAGCGACCTCCAGGACGAGACGGATGTCGTGTTCTTGCACTTCCAAGGCTGTGAGGATCGGGGGCAGGCCCACGTCGAACTTCACGTCCACCACGGCACCGATGACCTGGGTGATAGCGCCGATGCTGCCCGCGCCAGTGAACTCGTCCGTGGGCACGCCCGCCGTCGCTTCCGCGGCATAGCTCCTGCACCCGCCTGCGAGGCCTCCGCAGACCCTGGGGCGGAGAGAACCCGCCGCCACCTTGCGCGCAATAGCCACGCCACTCGTGCGGGCGGCATTCGCCCGTGCCGCGCCGCCGCCAGCGCTGGTGTGCAACCGTCCGCGGAGGGCGCGCGAAGACGACGCCGCCGCCGMCCCCTCTCCCGTAGCTACCTGTACCAGACGCGCGCCCCGCAAGGCCGCGGCGATGGTGCGCCGCATCGCCATGGCCCCCTGCTTCTTCCTCCCGCCTCTCTCTTTCTCTCTCCCTCCCTCCCTCTCTCAGAACTCGCTCCTTCTCCGTGCTCTGTGTGCTCCAGCTGCTTACTGTCCGTGCGTATATGCAAGGCGGGCGAGAGCGCTCATGCGCCCCCCTCCCTTCGTCACCGAAACCATACACCGCATAGAAACACCATTCATGCTCCCAACGCTCCAACGCTCCCAACGCCCTCGGGCTCAATCTCTTCGACTCCGGTTGAGCTCGAACATGCGGCCGCGAAGCACCTCGCTTTCGTCCTCCGTCTCCCCCTTCACCAGCGAACGCCTGCTGTGTGCATCCCCCGCCACGCCCGCGCCACTACGTGGAAATACTGGCCCGTTAAGGCCCACTACCACGAGTCTCTTCTTGGACATATTTGACCGCCATAATGACCAGATCCACTCCAAATAGACCTAAGGGGGTGTGAGCACCCTACCCCCACCCTACCCCCCTTATCTGCACTAGGCCTGTCCCTCGGATGCCTCGACAACCGTGAAACGAAAACGAACCAGAACAGGTGAATGACTGCTATCGGTTGGGCGAAGGGAGATGTATCACACGTGAAACTTGTTTTTCCTTCGCCCTCCTTCAGGCCGAGTGTGACATATGTGTGATGTGAAAAATGCAGTTATCAGGTCCACAGGCACGGCGAGCCAGGTCGGTACTCTTGGGTCTGCCAGGTGAGGAACACAGGGAAGGGTTGCGTTTATTATATGGGCCAATCGGGGGCTGTCCCTAATTCTCTGGATTATTACTGCCGAGGTCCATATTTTCTCCGGATTACTTAGACGGGTCATCAATGCTGTCTGGACTCTTTCGGATGGTTTGGCTTCAGAAATCTGTCTCAGGGGACCAGTGGCTTTGGCTTTCCCAACCTTTTCCTTTTTTTTTTTTACTAGACAGATGACAGTCACCCTTCCTCTCATCTTTTTGCCCTGGCGCACCCCCACCCCCTCTGTCCTACCCTAGTGTTAACCACCCAGGACCATTTCCCAATCCTAATGGGGAGAGGTGTGCGTTCATGGATATGACTCCGTAGGGCAGCTCATTGGGATCATTGACTTACTGTGAGGGCACAGGTACACAGCCCACAGGATGTCTTGTGGCCTTGCATGCTTAGGGATCCTTGTGAATCAGCAGGTGAGTAAGTCATCACACCTAAAACGTTAGGGCAAGAGGAGATGACATGACAAGATGTTGTTGTGGCAGGGAAGATGACATGATTGTCTACCACGTGGGCGCGGGGAACGCATCCCTAAGGTAGCCAAAGCAATGAGACTAAGAGCGCACACAAGAGAGAGAGAGACAGAGAGAGAGACAGAGAGAAAGAGAGGGGCTGAATGGCAAAATTGTAATATGGGTCAAATTGCGGCCGCGATCTATTTCACATTTGGAGCGATTTTTAAAATTTATTGAGCGTTTTTTTTGGAAAGATCACAACAAAATCCACGAGTACTCCAATTTTCTGTTTTTTTCGCACATTCTTCGGAGCGCGAAACTCAGTGAATTTGGTGTACTTTTTCAGTTGGCCTACATGTGACTGAGTGGCGAAAATGGAAAATGTGTCGAATCGGTTCGATGATTATTTCGCAGTCTAAATGATTTTTTGAAAATGTTCTAATATTTTTCCTGGAAAAAACCTGCGCTTATCTATGGATTCTCAAAATTTCAGATTTTTCTACAGGTTCCTCCTAGTACAAAAAATCACCAAAGTTGCCTCATGCAAAACGTCTGTTTCGTTGCGCCTGACCTCCCTGTTTTGGAAAAACTGGCCTCAATGCCTGGGCTTGATGGCCCTTTTGCAGTTCACATGCCCTCATTTCTTTTTGGGGTCCACTTCTACCCGAGGACCGGTCCTTCCTTTTTCCAAATTCCCGGTTTTACCCGAGCTAGCTGTAGGTAGTCCGCCATTTTGTCAAGTACTGGTCCCCCAAATGTTTTCCCCCCCTAATAACCCACTTTGCATCCTGATCGCCCACCGCCAAAAATGCAACACCTTGACACAGACGCCGAACCCCACTAGACCGCAGCCTTAGGGCTGCGAACAAGATGTTGTTGTGACGGGAAAGAGTGGCTACGCCCCACCCCCACCCATGCACCCCTCCCGCCCCCTCAACAGTGAGGGGGAGCTATGCCCTCCTCTCTCTCT